GACTTAAGATAAAAAATCGCAGGAAAGGGTCGACTTGACTCTTGATAATTAATGGGGCGGCTTGTAATAGGATTCTCCTGCCTGTGGCGCTCCCAGGAAACACCTTTTTACATAAGATATTGCCCACGCCGGAGTGGCAGCGGGGTGATTTATGGGGTTTCTTGCTCCAGAAAACCTCTCCTGGGGTTGCCCTGCTGGTGGAATTTATCAGGGAGTTTGGAAGCGGAGCGAGAAACCTGCCCGTGACATTTTTGGTGGAGTTTAAAAAGCACAAACACTGGAACAGGGAGAGGCCGATGGGACACAGGGTGGGGAGAGGGTCCACCCAGACCCTTGGAGTCTAGATGGGAATTCCTGGCGTGATTTATGAAGGGGGTGAGAGGAGGAGCCTGGAGACGGAGGGCACAGGACAAGATGTCAATGCGGGCACAGCCAGCACCCTCGGCAGCTGGGGATTCTCTGCACCCCTCCTGGTGAGGGGGCTCTGAGGGAAGGGGCACCAAGCATGTCCACTGCAGAGGTCAGGCTGGCACGGGACAGGAGATAGAGACCAAGGCTGGGGACAGGACCCAGGGAGGCAGCCACAATGGGGCCCCATATGTGACTCTCCCTCATGCCCAGAGGAAAAAACAAAGTTTTCTTTCTGTCTACCCCCTGCCTCCGTATACCTTCTACCTCTCTGTCCACCTTTTCTTTGTTTACTGAATTTTTTATTTTCTTGTGGTGGTGGTGGGGATCAAGCCCAGGGTCTCACACATGCTAGGCAAGTACCACACCCTGAGGTACACCACCAGGCCCCTGTCCATCTTCTCCTACTCTCCCCTGCAGCCACACTGGCCTGCTCACACAACCCTACCTCAGGGCCTTTGCACATCCTGTTCCCTCTGCTCTTCCCCTGCCTCCCCCACAGGGCTTGCTCCTTCATGGCCTTCAGACCTCAACTCAAATTGCACCTTTTCAAAGAGGGCTTCTTTGACCTCTCACCTCATCCCTGTCATTCTCTCCCTCCTCACCCTGCCTCGTCTTTCCTTGAAGCAGCTCTCAGTAGGTGACAGATTACATTTCTAAGTGGGGGCCTGTCCTTGTCCACATCTCTGCACTGGAACGTAAGCTCCATGAGGGTGGGGCTTTGGCTACATCCCTGGGCTTAGAAACCCCTGGTAAAGGACCCTCAGGCAGAGGTCAATGTCGGATGGAGGCCCCGGGCACTTTTCCCCAGCACAGATGGCGGCCACCCTCCTGGGCCCCACACACGAACCAGGAACACAATGTAGAGAAACCAGGTGTGAGGGTCTGGGATGGATTCCCCAAAACTCCCAGCGTGGGACACAAGGTGCCCAGCCTGACCCTAGAGTTGCAGGACACTGAGGTCCCCAATGAGTCCTCATGAGAACAAAGCACCCTGCCAGGGCAGTGGGGAGAGCCTGTGTCCCAGCTCTCGATGTCCCAGCATGGACAGCTGTGCCTCTCTGGACCTCGGCACCCCATCGCTCTCTGCAGACAGCCCTGCCGGCCTCCAGGAGGCTTGGAGAGAAGGGTGCTGCCTCCCAGCCCCTCCATCGAGGGAACTGCCTCCCTGGAGGGCTTGCGCCAGACCTGCCCACCCCTTGCACTAGTGGCTTCCAAGAAACCCTTGCCCAGCATGACTTTAAAATCCTGCAATCTTTACGATCCCTGGCCTCCGCCGGCCAGCAACATCCCAGGGAGCTTTGCCTCGCTCTTCCGTAAAAGCAGCAGGAACTCCCGGGTCCCTTGGAGCAAGAAGAAAAGTGGATTCAAAGCGAGGGCTGTCCTCATTTTGTTGAGAGTGAAGCCCAGATAAGACTCGAGCTGGGCCGGCAGCCCAAAGCAGGTCAAGCCATCTGGAGACACGTGGCCACCACGCACCCCACTCCCCAAGCCCAGGCGACAGCGAGAGTGGGATTTACTGACTTGCCAAATCAAAGGGTCCAGGGATGTTCCGCTTCCCCGCCAAAACCCCGGGAACCATTCTGATTGGACAACCCGGAGGCTGGGTCCACCCTGGAGCCAATCGCTGTGGTCCGGGGAGATGCAATGCTCGGATTGGCTCAGGCGGGAGTCACGTGCTCCTCCCCTGGATTCCGGGAAGTGGCAGGAGCTTTCCCGCTCCCACAGGCACAACCCTCGACCTGCTTCACTGTGGACCTGGAGGCGGGAGCTCTGGCTGGTGACGGGATTATAAATGTCAAGTGCAAAATTGCAAAGCATCAAGCAGGCTCCTGATGGACAGGGGCACACGAGTGCGCTCAGGTGCGTGCAAACACGCGTGCAGGGTCACAGGTGTGCACACAACAGAAGACTTGGGAAAGGAAGTGCCACCATCAGAATGCTCGTGTCCCCCCTAAATTTATGTCGAAACCCTGACCCCACAGCAATGGTATTAAGAGCGGGTGTTTAGGTCATGGACAGAACTCTAATGGGGGGTTTTGTGCCTGAAGAAAGAGGCGCCCAGGGACCACGCTTGCCCCTCTGCCGAGTGAGGTTGGAGTGTGAAGACGTTTGAGGCATCATCACCTTGACCTTGAACTTTGTGGCCTCCAGAACTGTGATCAATACATTTCTATTATTTTATAAACCCCCACCAGTCATGCTGCCAGCTCTGCAGGATTTCGTCATAGTGGCTGGAGGGGACTGAGACACAAAGCCACCCTGAGCCGCCCCTTCCCCTTAGGAGGGTCAGGCCATTATCCACAAGGCAGCAGCATTGGCCGGACCCTGGACGGGGCTCTTGCCCAGGCTGGGGAGGGACAGGCAGCAGCGGCTGAGCCTGCACCACCCAGTTCTGGGGTCAGAACACTACCTTTGCCTGTGTCTCTCTGTCACCTGGCTTGAAGGCAGGACTGAAGGACCAGATGGAGACGAGGCCCTTGGAGTCCGAGGTGTGGGACCAACCAGGTGGAGGACAGAGGGGCCTCCACTGCCAGGCGCTGAGCGGGTGTGGGAGGCTGGGTGTATCTCACATGTGCACACCTGGTGACCTGGTCTGCAGTGTTCCCGGGGCAGCCCTGGACAAACACAGAGACACCCTGTCCCGGTTACCTCCTTGGAGGCCCTAGAAGGCAGAGGCAGAGTGATAAGAGTCTCCACCTGCGCAGCTGGCCCTGCTGCAGCCAGTCGTAATGGCTTCTGTCCCTTCTCTGAGCCCTGACCCTTCCTCCCTTCCTCCACATGCCTTGGGTGTCAACCAGGAGGGGCCACACTGGCCCACTGATGTGTGCTATCTGGACGGGGTCAACAGCGCCTTCAGCTTCTTATCTGCGGCTCCAGAGACCAGGAGAGGGGCAAGCAGCAGCTGAGGCCTGTCCCAGGGGACAGCCACAGACATGAGGCAGGCGGGGCCCCCTGGGAGACAGAGCACCTGGGACACAGTGGCAGCAAAGGAAAGGAGGTGGCAGAGCAGTAGGGATTACATACTCTTTACATATCAGGGTTGCCATACAGCTGTGTGACCCAGGCTAAGTGGCTCAACTGCTCTGTGCCTCCGTTTCCTCATTTACAAAATAGGGATAATGATACTACCCCACCACGAGGATCACTATGAGATAAGGTAAAAGGGGTCCACATGTGAATAAATCCTAATTCCTCCCCACCTCGGGTTGTGGGAGGAGGGAGGCTTAGGGGACAGGGACAGTAGGCATTTATTGAAAGACTGCCTGTGGCCAACCATAGTGACAGCCCTCCACAGCCTGCTTTACGGAAAGCACACTCAGGGGTCACCTTTGTGTCACCATGCAGGTCAGCAGGAGCAGAGTGGGTGCAGGTCCGGCTGCATCCAGCTCCAGAGCTCATAAGGTTTTATCTGTCCTGGGGAATCCACAAAGTGAATGTTCTCCCAGGAAATAGGGCCTGGTTCTGGGGTCTCTGGGGTGGGGGGGCGGCATCCCTGGCAACCGCAGGTTAAAGAGAGAATGAGACAGGGAGCCCCACTGGTCACCGCAGGCTCTGACCCTGCTCCTGAGCAAGGAGGGGTTTCCTGGCATAAGGAGGGAGATCAGCAGCGGCGAGAGGGCCTCCCACATCACTGAGGGGAAGCCTGAGGCCCAGAGAGGGAGGGCACTTGTCCAAGGTCACACAGCCCACAGGAGGCAGGAGAGGGGGCTGTGGGAGGGGTGGGAGGTGGGCTCTGCGGTAGGTCTGGTGGTCCACACCTCCGAGCTGTCTCCCAGCAGGGCTGCGAGGGGTTAGAAAAGGCTCCTTGGTGCCAAGACCCTGTGGCCCATCTCTGGGGCCTTGGCACTCCTGGCCAGTGAGGGGCCCACAGAGGTAGAGCCCGGGAGAACCCCAAGGTTGCCGGCCTCCTGCCCTGGGCCAGCTGGCCCCAAAGGAGACCCTTTGCTGCCCCCTTGTGGCCACCAGGAAGTGGACTTTCCATCCTGCTTCCTAAGAGGCACCTCAACCGGCCCTGGGCTCCTGCTCCCCGGGGTCACCTGCGTCCAGACCACCTGGGTTCCTACCCCTTCCCCAAAACCCCACCTCCACCACCTCCCACACGGTGAGCCCCCAGCCACATGGAGTGACGTTGGACATTGCAAGAGTTTGAACCAGGCTGGGCCCCGTCCCTGCTGTGTCCTTGGGTGACCTCTGTCCACTTCCCTGCTCCATATTCCCATCTGTAAAGCAGGGGCAGGAATAATGGCTTCTACTTCATAGCACCTCCGAGGAGATGAAGGAAGACGGTGGGTAGAAAGTTCTAGAAGAGTCCCTGGCACGTGACTCACTCAATAGACACTGTCCTCTCCCTCAGATCTGATGAGTGACAATGCTCCTGTCCTTCCTGACCCGGGCCCCCTGAGCCCACCCTGTAGGTGAGAGGAGCCCTCCTAGGACCTGGGCTGGCTGGCTTCCTGTAGCACGGCTGGGTGTGGGCAGTCACCTGTCACAGGACAGGATTAGGATTGTCACCGTGCCTCCTTGAGCTAGCGGAGGGAGGAAGACGGGATCCACGGGAGACGGCAAACTTGGCCCAGAGGGCTTTATTGGCCGTGGCTGCCAGGAGCCCCAGGAGCAGTTCTGGAGGGCTTCCTGGAGGAGGAAGAGGAGGAGGAGGCCATCTTGAATGTCCAGGCAGCCCCCACAGTCATCCCCTGGAGCAGAGGCCCTGAGCCAGCCACACGTGTCCACAGCCTTTGGGGGCAGGTCTTGGGGACCCTCAGCTCTGGCCCAGCTTGGCTTTCAGAGCCTGCAGCTCCCCGCTGTTGATGCCGTTGCCCCCACAAACGATGACCACGACAGAGGCCAGGGGGCCCAGGCGGCCCTCAGCCTGCAGCCTCCCCAGGAGGCCCGAGTAGACAGAGGCCAGGGCTGCACCGCAGGCAGGCTCCACCAGCAAGCGCTCGTCATCTGTGGGTTGGGAGCAGAGGGAGGCCGGGCTCAGCTGGCCCCCGGCTCCACGGGCCACCCGGCCACCTCCTCACAATCTGTCACTCGCCTGACCCTCTCTCAGGAGTCACCCCACCATCTATCTCTCCAGCCGTCCACTCCTCCATTCATCACTAGCCTGTCTGTCCATCCGTCACCGTGGCCATCCATCAACGTATCCATCCATCCGTCTCCTTTCCATCATTCAATTGTCTGTCTGTCCATCCATCAATATGTCTATTCATCATTGTGCCTGTCCATCCGTCCATCCATCCATCCGTCCGTCTCTACATCACGCATCAGTCTCGCCCATGGCTGCCCCGCCCACTCTCCATCCCTGCCCCGCCCACTCTTATCCCTGCCCCGCCCACTCTCCATCCCTGCCCCACCCACTCTCCATGTCCCACTCCCTCCCTCCCATCCCTTCACCCAGCAAATCCCCGTGGGACCCACTGCTGGAGCCTGTGCTGGAAGGACCCCAGGGGACACCACCCAGCCCCGCCCTTGTGGAGCTGGCCGTCTGGTGGCGACAGATGGGAACCAGCGGGGATGCACCCAGGGGCTGGTGCACAGGAGGTCCCCGGCCTGGGCACTATGGTGGAGACCTGGGGGCTTCCTAGAGGAGGTGCTTGGGTGACTCCATCACTAGCCCTCTGTCCTAGGAAACGGATAGCAGGCAGGGCCAGGGATGGACGTGCAGAGGCAGGGACACCCTCCTCCACCCGCCCCACCTGCTCCAGGGCCCCAAGCACAACTGCCCACGCCCTGCCCAGGTCGGTGCACTGGGGACTTGCTGGGTCCTGGGCTAGCGGGGCCGTGCCACTCACCCAGGAACCGCTGCACAGCGCTCACGGCCTCCGCGTCGTCCACCACCTCAGACAGGACCCTGCACTCCCGCGTGCACTCCAGGGCCCGCGCGGCCACCGTCTTGGCGCCCAGGCTCTTGGCCACGCTGCACGTGAGGCAGGCAGGTCAGGGAGAGCAGGGAGCTGGGCCAGCTGGTCCCCCCCGGCCCGCACCCTGTGAAGACTATGCCCCTTGTCCAGAGCCCCCGGGGCACCAGACTCCTGGACCCTGAGAATGACCAGTGCGGCAGCAGTCACCCTGGCCCTTCCACCCGGGGACGCCTGGACACAAGAAGTTCACTGTCTGTAACTGTGGGACAGACAGGAGGCAAAGCCCCAGGGAGCACGTCCCCCTTTGAGGGCAGGACAGCCGGCCACTTGGTTGTCCGGGGCAGCTTGGTGTCTTCATTTCCTAACTGCCCTGCATCTGGCTCAACCTGCTCTTCAATGGAGCCGACCAAGGAGGACTCGCTCTATTAGTGGGTGAGGCTTGGGGGGACCCCACCCTATCTCTGCTGCTCAGCGCTTCCCAATCAGACCCTCAGTACTGTGCCTGGGGGACAAGGAGACCCTTTTCGGGCCTTGTCCACCCTGCTGGCTGGGGCAGGAGGCGCTGGGCACAGCAGCCCGCCCACGGCCCCCTCCAGCGCCTGGCAGGGGCTCACCTGGTGATGTCCGGCAGCGTGACCAGCTTGCCCGCCTCCACGGCGGCGTTGAAGCTGTGCGCCCCTCGGGTCTCCATGGCGATGATGGGCACGTGCTGCCAGCCCACCTCCACCAGGCCAGCCACCACCCCTGCCAGGAGTCCCCCGCCGCCCACTGCCAGGACCACAGCACCTGGAGGGGTCCCCAGGGTGGCCTTCAGCTCCCGCACCAGGCTGGCGTTGCCTTCCCTGGAGAGAGGAGTCGGGGGGACACCACAGGTTCCTGGATAGGGGAGTCTCTAGGGCTGGGCTCCCTGCCCCCACATACGCACAAATCCCTCTCAGTCCCCTCCCCACAGCCAGCAGGCAGGAGAGTCCCTGTGGGGGCCCAGAGTCCCCTGCATTCCTTCCTTCAGTCACCTCCACCACCACCTCCCAGGCACTTTCCTGGACATGACCCCAATGAGTCCCCCAACAACTTTGGTAAGAGGCAAAATGTTAGTGCACGTGGTTGAGGGGACAGGCCTGTCACTTGGACTCAGCTGACTGAAGTTGTGGGGCTAGTACTGGCTGTGTGATCTTGGGCAAGTTGCTTAACCCCTCTGTGCCTCCGTGGTCTGGCCTGTGAAATGGTTTTAACAACAGTGCCCCCGAGGGCTTTGGGGAGGATACACAGGAGGGCACAGGGAGGGCACAGGGAAGGCCCTTAGCCTGGGGTGGGCCCCAAAGCCCATGCTCCGTCTGTCAGGGGGACTTAGCGTCACCCTTTCCGTCTTACAGATCTGGATCCTGGGGCACGGGGAGGTGGGTAGCTGTGCAGTCACAGGGTCCCCGAGTAGCAGAGGCAGGGCCTGGACCCCCTCTGTCCACTGTGGAAGCGTCTTTCCCCCGGGCCTTGCATTCCCTTCTGTCCAGGGCAGGACCTGACTTGGTGAGGGTCTCCCGTGCTGGGCCTCCTCTTACCATATCAGAGGGTGGTCAAACGGGGGGACGTTCACCCAGCCGTCCCTCTTGGCCAGCTCCTGTGCCCTCAGATTGGCATCATCCCAGACCTGAGGAGAAGCAGAGGGGACCCTCAGAAGCCCCAGGCGCCGGCTCCACAGAGACCAGAGCAGGTGCCGAGGCTCCCAGACGCCCAGATCCAGGGAGCTGGAGGGTCCCCTCGCAGTGTTCCCTGAGTGTGGGACTCGGCCAGGAAGAGGGCAAGGTGGCAGGACGTACACGGCATGGACAGAGGGAGGCCAGCCCTCCACCAACAAGGAGTGGGCATTGCGGGTGACTGCCACAGCTTCCCACCCTCGAGGGACAACCTAGGGACAGCCTTGGGATCCCTGGGGGGCCGGCTCACTCATGGTGCTGGGGCTTCCTTCCCTCCTGCCTCCTGCCACTGAAGGCGCCCCCTGCAGGCACCCCCGGGAACTATAGGCACCTGGTCCTGTTCAGGGCCCACTCTGGGGGACCCACACCAAGACCCCAGGTGAGAGGGACCCCACTCAATTGACCCCAGGGAATCCACAGAGAGGAGCTAAGTGGCAGGCTACAGACCCCTGCCCAGGTGAGGCAGGGAGGGTCACGGGGCCAGAAACCGCCCTGAGCACCCTCCAGGACCTCAGCACCCGGGGCCCGGCCCGTGCAGAGGACTCGCCCGCAGGAGGGAAGCCGAGGAGAGGGCCCTGCCCACGGGAGTTCCTGGAAAGACGGGCCTCGCTGCTCTGAATCAGGGAGACAAAGCTAGACTCAACCCTGAGGCCCCCAGCCTCCCTCCTGGAGACCCAGGGCAGCCTCCTCCCGGCTCTGCCTCCTCTACCGCCCGCCTCCCATCCCTGCCCAGAGCAAGCGAGTGCAGTCACCCGTCCCTCCTTGCTCAGAGCCTTCCCTGGCTCCCCACTGCCCTCCGTGGGAGCCCAGATTGGCCGTGCCTACAGCCTCCCTGCTCCTCTGGGCAACGGGCCTCCCTCTGGCCTCACCTCCTGCCTCCTCCCCTGGACATGGGGCTCCAGCTGGACGCACCCTGCTGGCCCCCTGGCCAGGCCTTTGCCCAGGGCCTCACCTCTGTCCCCTTTCTCCGCAGGGAGGACTCATACTTCTCCTTCAAGACCCAACTGAGGGGACCCTTCTGGGGGGGCTTTCCGGGTCCCCCTTCCCGAGTCTAAGTCGCAGACTGCTGGGCTGTGACCCGTGTCCAGGTCCCCACTGCTCCTGCGTCACAGGTGCAGTGCCTGTGGCCAAGCCCACAGCCCCTTGACGCTGGTGTCCACTGGGACTTGCTCTGGTCAGTGGCCAGTGGCAGGACACACAGTGTGGGCTCTGAGCAAAGTTCTGAAGGGACGTCACTTGTTCCCTCTGAGACCCTCTGGCCATGGCCATGAGGAGAGGGTGCTGCAGGGCCCCGGACGACCTGCCTCTGCCCCGTGGTGCAGCAGGGGACGCCGCCTCCGCGAGCCCAGGGAGGGCAGCGGAGCCTCTGTCCAGCGTGGGCTTGGGCCACACGGCCCCTTCCAGCAGCAGCTGCCTCCCCTGGGCCTGGGTTTCACGGCACCACCAACCTGGCCATCTYCTGCTGGACGCCTGCGTCTCCCAACACACGCCAGTGCCCAAGCAGAGCCCACAGGGTGCTGCCCGCACCCAGGACCCCTGATACAGCAGGCCCAGGCAGGCACTGGGGACGTAGGATGGCCGGGAGGGGCGGGTACAGGATGGTCGGGTGGATGAGTGGGCGGGCGGGTGATGGATGGGTGGATGGGTGGATGGGTGGATGGG